AAACGCACAATGTGTCTTGTCTAATATCGTACACGATTTAATCCTTTCGGCCATCGCAAGCTTCAAATATTTTCAGCTTGAGCGAACGATTTTTTTCTGACGATGTACAACAGCTATCGTTATATTTCACACATTGCTTTACGCAATCAAACGTAACAGAATTATATATGTGCATTTTATCGGTTAATATTTATGCTTAATAGAGCTGAGATAGATAAGAAATAAAGTATACTCTGAAAAAAATTTATTAAATCTTAATACATATTTCTTTGAATAGTAAAGAAATACATTTACTTACAGGAAATAAATATTTACTCGATAAAAAATGATAGCTACATCAAATTAATGATTCTTGTATCAAATAAATATATGTTTACTTAGAATTACTCAAGCGAATACTTATTAAAATTTAATATTTTTCTCAGCATAGTTAATAAAAAGAAGCATATCCGCCTACCATCTTCTAATTTTAAGTTCCTCAAGGAAGTATCTAAATATAAAATTATATAACTAGAAAATTGAAGAACTTCACACGACTCTCTTAAAGTATGAAATTATGCTCGCGCTTTTCATATGCTAATTAAATGAATATGTTTAACATAAGGAATTCAAATTATTCTCAAATTGCTAATTAAATTACTTACGTCACACACGTTCTTCTCTCTCTCTCTCTCTCTAATTTTATTAAAATATTCAAATTACAAGAGAACCTCCGAAGCTGCGCCGTATCGAAAGCAACCCTTTACATTCACTTTTCCCCGTATATCTGATTTTCTATTTCCGACGAGAGGCGAGGAAATCTTCGAGACTCTCCACTGATTCGCACGTGCGACGCGAGCACGTGTACGCGATTTTACGCGAATTCTCTTTGTGTGCCTTTCGGCGGTCGCCGGATCCGTTGCGTCGCCGCCGGCGAGATTCGTCGCGGATGATTTCGTCGTGTGCACGTATCTACGCAAGCACTAAGTGACTTTAACCGGTCGCAACAGCTCGGTAATTGCCGCGAATTGACCAGCGGATCCCAAATGCGTGCGCGACGCGCGTGTGGTGGAGCGCGCGCGCGCGGATACGTGCAAATCACATACGCGCGCATTAAACTAGCGAGAACCTCCGCGTGCATCGCTGTGTGCCGTTGTATCAAAAATTTGGATTAAAGAACGACTGGGGACGGGAGGGGAGGACGAACGGAAGTGTTATCTGGTTCGAAAAATATCTGAAGTACAAACATCAGTCGTCGAGTTATCCTGAGAACTTAAATATGCGATAAGATAGTTGAGACAAACGTGGACATATAAATCTAGCTTGAAAGCGAAGTATTGAACCGTAACGTCCTCATTCTTGTGATATCGATATCCATTTATTTTAGTTTATACACTGAATACCAATCTTTTCTTTCAGTGTAATGTTCGTATTTTTATAAGCTTAGTGTATTTTCGTACCATTAATCCATGTACCAAAATAAAAGTACAATTCTAAATGGGTCCTTTGTTTCCGATTTTTCTCACGTAATTCGTTCACGTAATAACGATGTTTTATTTGTCAATTTATTTCCGCAGAGTCCGATGCTCCGCTTTTCCTTGCCAGCAACCGTGGCTCGCATGCATGCGCATTTATTGAAATAGCCTATTTATCCGTTCGCTCTCTCGATTGGATCTAATTTCAAGGGGAGAGAGAAACGATGTCTTTACGTGTACGTTTCTTGCGCGGATAATTGAATAAAGTTTACTTTTACGCGAACAAACAATCGTGAGATTCTCCGGTGAAAAATCTTTATAAATTGCATCGAGATGCGAGTCAATGAACTTTATGATAGAGTGTTTAATCTTTTAAGTGAAAGATTTAATGAAAAATGATCCAATAGCTCTGTCTGTATTAAAATA